CGTATCTAGCATTCATACGCAAACAAACTTATTTTATTGCAAATTTTTACTTCATATGCAAATTTGCGTATGAAAATCCTAAAGCGAAAATTTACATCATAGGCAAATTGGCCATGAAAACCCCAAGTGTGTTAATGACATAACAAGGTTAGTAACATTGTACAGTAGTGCAAGAACGATGAAAAAATTAGGAGAGATAGAAGTCTGTCAGGAACAATATACGTGCAGACCAGAGGCCCCTACTTTACTGCCTATTTTAGTTAGTGAATGAATTACTAGAATCGATTTCACAGTAGGAAACTAAATATAATACACATAGGAAAGAAGAAATCAAGGAAATATGTAAGGAGCCCAGCAACGATGCAAAAATTGACAACCCAAAATAGTCAGGTAGAAACAAAATAAAAATACATGTAGGTTGCCCTGGCGGATGGTTAGAACAATATGAGTGGCAGTCAGAGCGGTTAATTCGTCATCAACGCACCACCAAAACATTTTGCTCAGATCAGGTATCCACTCAGCTGTGACGTTACCAGACTACTGCAATTACATAACTTCTGAGTATACAGTGCAATCATATAATGCTATACAAAATCATTATGTGTTTCCTTTTCCTTGAATGTAAAAATGTTCCATTTCTTGTTTGAAACTAGTCTGAACTATTTTCATATTTCACGCAAACATTTAGACCAGTTTAAAAATAATAACATGGGGGGAAGAGCTGACTAGACTGATGGTGTCCATTGTTCTAATATTCTTCCCAAATTAAACATTGTCATACACTATAAAGTTTGGCACAATATTCTGTATAGTTTTAGAAATCATTGCTGATGCTATATATTACAGTATATGTTCGATGAAGATCCCCTTTTACAGGGAAGTGATGTAATATCTGCTGCCAATATTCTGTTAAGTAATATAATATATTGTCGCAATATTTACGATAAATTCCTAGCATGAAGTCTATAAGAAGGAACATTTGGTATCTTTATAAGTAGTCAACATGTTGTTATTATCATGTCTATGTGACACTTCACTTACCGTAGCTTGATGTTATATGACCACTGGCTTATATTATTACACATCCAACTTCCCTATTATATTCTGGTTTATACAGGCAGATGAACACATACACGCACATATTAAACATGTATACTGTATTGTACTGTATATGATTGCTTGCTTCATTTAGTAAACATGATATTAGCATCACTCCCCATAATTCATCAGTAGCATCATCAGCTCATATAAACAAATATTCTCCTTCCCAACTTGTGTGTCGATTCTTGACCTGAATCAATCGGCTTCGTTACCAGTTCCACACTGTGTGTTAGTGGGGAGGTTCGATCGGCACAGTGACTCGCCATCAAGTAAGGGTGGAATGGCCTGGTCACCCTCCAACCCGACTGTATCATAAATTTTTTACCCCTACTGTACTAATACTACTGACTACTGTACATACTGTACTGAAAACTGAATTTCTAATGGCTAAGTCAAATTAATCATGTAAAAATCCTAAAATTCCAGATAATTTTCAAATACCATCCTTCCCAAGCTCTGTGTTAATAGGACATATTCCCAGATATCAAAACTTAATTCTGTATGAAAATGAAACCAACTGGCTTTCAGGCTATACAAAAGGTGGATCTCATGAGGATTATGAACCTCCACTTATTTCACCTGATGATAAAACTCCCTAACACTTAATGAGGTGTTAGGTTAGTACTAGTGTAGGTCTAAAGAAATGGCAATGTGACTTTTGAGACATTTAAGGCTGTACATAAAGTGTTCAATCTTCAGGTAAAATAAGCTGGGGTTCCTAACCTTCATAGCATCCATCGGGATATATCCTGAGAGGATGTGGGGAGATGCATCCTGCCTACAATCAGGTTGGGTGTTTTCCTTTTATAATCATCCCCCCTCCCTCCACCCCTACAATTCATATAATTCAAAAGAAAAAATTTAAATAACCCAATTAAAAAAAAATAATTATAAATTAATCTTTATAACTTTTCTGTTTTCCTGTCTAAGATTCATTCTGAGAGAGGGTCGTCTGAGGTCAATGGTCAGTGTTAATTTTAGATTTGATCCTTACAGTATTGATGTCATGGGTCAGCCTGTTGGGTCTACAGTAGAAGTCCAAAAATCCGGACTGCTTGGGGATTGGGTCGGTCCGGATTTTCCGGATTCTCAGGCAGTACTGTACTTTTAAAATTCAAATTTCAGGAGAAATAAAGAAGAGATTAACAGGTACATTTTGATAGTTTATTCATTAGCAAATATAGCATGCTTAATTTATCTAAAAGAGCAGTTTTAAAGAAAAAGCTGTGAATTATAAAATTTTATTCTTTGCCTTTTATATATCATAAATTGTAGACTTTCCAATGTCGTATGTTTCCATTAGAACAGTATTGCTCACACCACGTTCTAGTTTCTTAATTATTTCAAGTTTGTCACTCAATTTCAATGTGTTCTTCTTTCTCTTCACACAAAGAAATTTATCTACTTTAGGAGCCATTATTATGGGCTTGTACAGTACTCTGTAAATGGAAAGAGTAGGACTCAAAATTACATGCGTTGTCACAGTTTGATTGCTCGTTTTAAAGTGGCGACCGCGTGGTCGCTTGTTGTCGCTGTGCAGCTGTGGTGCTCACGCATGCACACATACAGACAAAAGCCAGCTAAATTGTAATAAAAAAAAGAAGTTAAGTTTGAGTTTTCGAAAAGTCCGGATTCTCGGGTGGTCCGGATTTCTGGCATCCGGATTTTTGGACTTTTACGGTATATAAATGGGAAAACCCAGCAAGTCACTTTAGTTTTAAGAGACACATCAATGTGTAAACTTGTGCAGTGACACAAGTTTACTGACAATTCAGAGGGCCAATCACGAATGTTTTCTTAGAATCCTAGGTAAAATTTTTGTCTTCTGAATGGTCACAAAATATAGTGGTGGATGTTAGTGGCAGAGACCATGACACTCAAGCCCCCACAGTATGGGGCATGTGTCGAAAAACCTAAATTCTTTAACTCTGGAGTCAGTCAGGCACAATATGTCACTTTTGGGGGGCTGGTTATTGAGTAAAGTGTGATATCTAATAAATGCATAAACAATAATAGAAATATGAAATTTTTATAAAGTTTTGTTTCTTAACCGTTCCCACAACAGTCATTTGCTGACCTCAGTCACCTAAGGTTGACTTTGCCCATCACTCAGTGACCCAAAGACCTCCTCCCCACTGAGCTCCTCCCTCATCTCGCCAATGAGGTGCAGTAAGCAAGTAGCTTTAACAATTCCTCTTAATGTGAGAATTACAATGACATTGCAAGACGATAAGTGACAACTGGCGACTGGGCCTGACTGGCCGACTTAAGTCAAACTGCCAAAGGTGAAAATCACTGAGGAAATTATCGACAGTAATAAGCATGTTTAAGGAATCTGCTACAATGTGTTTATGTATATCAAGCATGCCATTTGTAAATCCAACTTGTGGGAAAAAATATGAGATAAAATACAGTGGTTGCTGTCAGGGCAGCCTGACAATAAACTTTGTTAAAGTATTTAATAAGGTTAGTGTTTTTTCATATACTTATAATGCCATGATTTACTGTGTTGTCTATCTGTGGAAGCCATGTATACTCAATTAACAACTGCTCATATGTATTTTGTTAAGTTTATGTTTAGAAGCACATTTCTACAAGTCTCCGAAGTCACCCTCTTATTCAATCACAATAAATCAATGCCAATAATAAGATCTTAAAAAGGAATAAAACATTTGAATATCAATGTAATAACAAACAAACAAAATTAAGGATTAAAGCCTGAAATCCCATATTATGGTCAAAGTGATAAAACAAGTGACCTGAGAGGCACCATTACTGTATTCAATGTTCCTTGGTGGAGTGCGTCTCTGTCCAGAAAGTGTGTTATACTTACTAGCCAGACACAATATACACATGAACAATGTTTATGCTGTCAACTTATATTCAAAGTCCAGATTTTACAGCCATGGGATTAAATCAAATAACACTTTCTGGCAGATTGTTCCAAGAGTTCACAACTCTCGCTTCGAAAAAGTTTGCCCTCACAGTTTTCTGGACCTGCGGCTTCTTCAATTTTGAGCTGTGACCCCTTATGGGGTGAGAGTCTGCCAACTCCAGGTACACTTGATTATATAACTTTAATTCCTGAATTGAAACATCACTAGTCCCTCAAACATCCACTGATCTGAATTTGGAATATGGAATGACAAGGGGGTGGCTGCTTGTTAAATGGGCACTGTCCAATAATGTATTGTGTCCATGCCACTAGATATTATGCACTTCCTGGTCAAAGACAAGCACCTTAACTACCCTGAGAGATTGGAGCACCTGAACTTGCCTAGCTTATACCACAGATGGGCAAGGGGAGACCTAATTGAGGTATATAAGCATCTCAAGGGGCACTACTCAGTCGAGTGTCCTTACTTGGAGCTGGCGGACGCTCGCCCCACAAGGGGTCACAGCTCAAGATTGAAGAAGCCACAAGTCCAGAAAACTGTGAGGGCAAACTTTTTCGGAGTGAGGGTTGTAAACTCTTGGAACAATCTACCAGAAAGTGTTGTGATGGCACCGAGTGTGAGCTCTTTCAAGACCAGACTTGACCAACACTGGAGCAGGTTCAGGTACATTCAGGAGCCGGTGCATGCCCAGTACTTGCCAACAGTGCGTAACAGAGACGTGACCGATCGCCCAAGCGGCTAACGAGTCGATCATTTGGTGAAGAGGATAAAAGTAAGTAAAAGTGTGGTACATCACCTCACAGGTCCCCTCTACACCATAAATTCAAACTCTGTCCACATTTGTCTGTAACTGATAACCTTTCACAGTGACAGATTTATAATCTACCCAAACGTATACCAAAGAAATATTTAGGTAGGAGATAAACATCAAGACCATAAATTTCACTTTTCACAATATGTAAGCAGCCACTTTATGGGATGTTGTTTATTTCATTTACACACCTGTGATGGTAACACTAATCCCTGTGTTGATGTGTCCACAGCGATAACTGCCATAAAGTTACCAATGATGTTGATCACCATGTACGTTCCAACAATAACATGAAGAATATTCAGAGTCCTGTTATATATTGTTGGACCCACAACATAAACCTGTTTATAGGGGAAATTGTAGGTCAGTATCTTGTCTTAAGTATTTCCCAATTACTGTATATTATTGTACTGTATTCATTAAACCGTATGTGCAATATTTTTTTTTAATTACTAGGAGTATTAATTGTGAGCAGCAAGGACAAGCCATCATTAATATATACAGTATTGTACTATATATGATGCCTACATTATCTTAACTTCTATTGTCTTTTAAAATTATTTCACCTTACAATAACAAACCTGAAAACATATGGTTCATAGTGTTCATTTACAGATCATGAGAATATTTTACTTGTCAATTATATTAACAAAATTTCTACTTCACATACAAACCTCAAACCAGTACACAGAAGGTATAGCCAGCAACATGAACACCATGGCACTCAGATCCGCAAAAGATCGCGGCATAAATCTTTTCCTGAATCGTATGCTGTATCCCATTGTCACCTAGACAAACATAAAAAAATTATAATCCTTTCACATTACAATAAACATATTCACTGGATTCAAGCACAATTAAATAAGTTGAAAAGTGGCAAAGAGGATAAGTAAATATACAACACAAAATGCAATATAAAAATATAATTTATGTCATATAATAATGCTCACAACAATACATCTCAGTACAGTACCTTAAACATGAAGGTGGAATAACTAACTTACATTAATTAATTAACTTATGCTGTATTGTAACTTATGCTGTATTGTACTGCTGCTTTCAGTTTTCAAAAAGACAACATAAAATAAAGTGGTGACCCTCTGATTTACCTCTGCCTTATTACAGGTATTTCTCATGTACAGAATGAAAGTTAGTCAGAAAGATGAGATATATCTATTGCATGTGTTAAAAATCCCGGAGTCCATGGCTGTACGAACCTATTTATCAGTAAGAATATAAAGACATACAAAAGGGCAGCTTATGTACTGTACTTTTATTTCGGTAAAATTATCGTTTCAGTCATACACCTATTTGGAAGTTGTTCAAAACATATCAAACACCATCGGAAAACATAATTTCAACATAAACTAACCTAACCTAATCCGACCTAACCTAACCTAAACTTAAAATCCTAAAGCTCTATTGGATGACCGAAACAATAATAGTACTGATTTCTTTAGGCCTCTATATGAATATAGTGACATACAAAAGAGCAGCTTATCAGGGGTATTGGTATTATTTTAGTTTCGGACATAGCGTCCCCGATAGTTATAAACTACCAAAACATTTAGATCTCGCTATTCTGAGCAATATGAATCCCATATATACATGGCGGAAATGGAAAATAGCGACACAATTGAATTTAATTGATTTTAAGTAGTTTTCAGTCTTCATCTCTGGGAGGAGATGTTACCTGCGCATCACGCATGCACAATGCTGACTGATATCATCCAGTCGTGACCAATGAGGTATCGATATCATCACGCGAATTTTTTTCGACCAATCACATTTGATTTTTTCAAAGGTTAGCATCCTGGGTATGATTTTAATTTCATTGACCAGTTTCACAATGGCTGTGGTGGAGGTTGGTTGTCGTTTGTGCTCCTACGATTATTTTAAGTCTATTGCCGAGTTTTACGAGAAAGACGATTATTCTATCCAATTCTTATGTATCCCTGGTCCTTCCACTTCTAACTAAGGTATTGTACTTTCGGACATGGCGCGACCCAGAGTTTTTAACTACTGAAAGATTTAGGTTAGTTTAAGCTAGGCCTACCGGGGGCAGAGCCCCCAGCTAGGAGTTAGGTTAGTTGGGTTAGGTTTTGTTAGGTCAGATGACTCGTTTTCGTTTTCTCCCCCACCCAAAAACCCCGATTTACCAGGCTCTCCCCTATTATTGTTGGGGGGGGGTCAAACTAGCAATTTCCGACAAAAATGAAGGTCAGATTTGTTTCAAACACATCAAAATACACTGGAAAAACATATTGGTCAACCCCTAGGGACTCGTGTCCTAAAGTAAAAATTTACCCATCGTTTCAGTCATACACCTATTTGGAAGTTGTTCAAAACACACCAAAAACCAGAGGAAAAACATAATTTCAACCTAACCTAATATAATATAACCTAACCTAACCTAACCTAACTCACAGATACTCACAGATGATCTTCTGGAAGAGGCTCACGCCTGTGACTCCAGCTCTAGCCTCTTCTCTACTCAGACGGTGGCTGTGTGTGGCGGATATTTGTGCCCTATAATTATATACTTGTTGATTTTTCCACCACCTCCACATTCACTACCCACTCAGGTAACCCATAACATAACCTAACCTAAACTTCAAATCCTAAAATTCGCTGGATGACCGAAACGATAATATTGATACCTTTATGTCTCTATAAGAATATAATGACATACAAAAGACCAGCTTATCAGGGGTATTTTTAAGGAGATATAAATTCCGAGCAATAATTCCATCAGACCGCCTCATGCTCGTTCAGAGATAACAGCATCCCTTATCAGTTTTCACTATACTTAACGACGAAGTTTAATGATTCCACACTAACTACACCTCATCCTGAACATAAAGTCTTCTGGAAGTGATAAAAATCACCAGGTCATAGCATATAATTCTTCAATCCAAGTAATAGTCAACTTTATCTCTCATAACAGTTAAGAGATGTCATTAACCAAAATTGTGCAAAAAGGGATTAATATTCAATGTCATACCTCACTTCTATCATATATCGAGGAAACGTGACTTACTTTATGTTATGGTTCAACTGCAACAGTGAAGCAAGATGTGGTGTGCAGGAGAGGATGTTATGTGACCATCAATACTTCATCAGCCTCTCCCCTCACAGGCGGCTGGCACTAGCAGACGGCACACTAGGGGTACCAACCTAATATATTGATACTTTTTTTTTACAGCATGTTAATTAAATACATTTTTTCCAGGAAAATTTAAAATATGCCAAAGAGATGCAAGGCCAAGCTTTTTTGGATTGAAAGTTGTGAACTCTTGGAACAAACTGCCAGAAAGAGTTGTGACGGCACCGAGTGGAAGCTCATTAAGACTTGACCAACAACATTGGCGCAGGTACAGACTATTAGATAAATTCTGGAGCCATGGTATGCCCAATAGTCAATACTGTACTTACCAACAGTACATAACAGAGTCGAAGAGTTTAAAGTAAAGTAAAGGCTGCAAGCAACAAATTCACAGTCTTTTCAAGATAGACAAAAAAATTATTCCTCTACCCCTGCAATACTATGAGTTTATTTATGTTGTTTGGCCATGCGAACATAAATTCAGACTCAACCACTTTTTACTTGCCATTTAGGCAGTCGGCCACTTGTTACTAACACTACGACCATCATTGCAATTATTTTGTGTTTGCTACGTTGCCAACTACAAAGCCGTCGATGTGTTACTTTGTAGTGGATTCCTCCCCTACAAACGCTGTTTGTCGCTGATTAGCCGACCCCGCGAATTCCCCAGTGTATGCCTAGTGGTCTAGGTCAACTATTAAGCCACGCCTACCTCCGCTATATAAGACCTGACCTCGTGCTGACCTCTCTTTCGACCTACACCAACCAGCAAGCAACACCACCTCCACCGCTCCTGCCTGGCGGCCCTCGCTCCCGCCGGCGACCATGGCGACCCACAAGCTGGTCCTCCTCTGAGCACCCTCACCAACCAGCTCTCCCTACTCACGCTTGTAACCACGCTGCCTCCTCCCAGCACCAGCCACCAAGCTGCATTGTACATCCATTATAATATGTAACGGAGAGCACATTGTGAGTTTCCTTTCTCCATCCCATCCTGAGTATGAACCAAACATCTCGTACCCCACAACTTTACTTTTATCCTCTTCACCACTGATCAGCGCGTTAGCTGCTCGGGCGATCGGTCACGTCTCTGTTACACACTGTTGGCAAGTACTGCGCGCATGCACCGGCTCCTGAATGTACCTGAACCTGCTTGACCAGTGATGGTCAAGCCTGGTCTTGAAAGAGCTCACACTCAGTGCCGTCACACCACTTTCTGGTAGATTGTTCCATGAATTCACAACTCTCACTACGAAAAAGTTTGCCCTCACAGTTTTCTATACCTGCTGCTTCTTCAACCTTGAACTGTGGGCCGAGCGTCCGCCAGCTCCAAGTAAGGACACTCGACTGAGTAGGAGTATCAGACCTGAGGCTTGTGGATGGTAGTTACGCAGATTCTGACCAGGCTAAAGCTGAGGCATTGAACAGCTTCTTTTCCTCGGTGTTCACAAGAGAGGATGCAACTAATCTTCCTGCGTTTGAGTGTAACGACCACGGTCATACACGTCAGTTAACGCCAAAATCAATGATTCATATTACGCTCAATAGCCCACAAAACATGTAACTCTGCTTTTATTTTGAGTCCTCCATCAGAGGACTCGTTTTCTCATCACTTCAAGACGCCTCACTCCTCCGTTATCCCATTTTCTCTGACTTACTGAAACCAACCTCCTATAAAATGAATTTGAATGCGAGAGAGAACACCCTTGTTTTGAGTCAACTTAGATATGTTTGATTACAGTTAAAGCATACAAGATCCTTTGTGAGTGATGTTGAACACTTTAACTGTCATTATTGTTAGTAACAATGGGTAGGTAAGTGAGTGTTGAGTCTGCCAGGACAAACGATACCCATCAGTTTCGCTCCCTAAGACTGACCATGAGTTTCCAATTGCTACTGAAGTCAGATTATTCTGTTGCCCAGACATCAGAGAATCTGATGTTTATAGTTTAGTTAGTGTCAGTTGTCTATTTAAGAAAGTCATTAATTTCCTGAATTATTCTGTCAACCGGTATAATCTCCAAGATCTAACGTTTCCCTATGAATAGCTCCTTGTTCGCCTCAGGCCTGAGCTCGCAGAATTAATGTTATCAATGTGTATATTCCACCTTTTCCTGGCAAGCTCAACCTCTGATTAGATTATATGAATAGACATAGGAAATTACCCTGATCAGGAACCCCGGAGTTCATAATTAGTATACGGTGATCCAAAATGGTAGAGAAGGTATGTTGTTGGTAAGATCGACGTTTCTGGTATGAATACGGAGGCCCAAGCTGCCCCACGGGTGCACGTATATACTGTGGGGTATGGGATGTTTGGGTTCACACTCAGGATGGGATGGAGAAAGGAAACTCACAATGTGCTCACTGTATACATATTGTATTGGATGTACAATGCAGCTTGGTGCTGGGAAGTGGCAGCGTGGTTACAAGCGTGATGTAGAGAGCGCTGGTTGGTGAGGGTGCTCAGAGGAGGACCAGTTTGTGGGTCGCCATGCTAGCCGGCGGGAGCGAGGACTGCCAGGCAGGCGGAGGAGGAGGAGGTGTTGTAGGAGACTTGTTGTCTGCAGGGTTGTATAGCACATGTGAGGCAGAACGGGCAGCATGCCTCATGTGGAGACAACGGCGATGGCGTGGATGAGCGGCCGCCAGAGACAACTGTCTAGATACACAATATCTGTGGGAGAGAGAGGGAGAAAAGGTGGTGGAGGCGATGAATGTTGTGCTTCTCACGGCAGGTACAGAATTGTCAGATGCGCCTGCTGGGGTGTGTGGGCCTGGGTCAGGAGCAGGGGCTGCGTCAGCAGAAGCGGATGAGGGCTGTGACAGCAGCTGGGTCCACAACAGCAGCAGGGTGCAGGACATTAGCAGGGAGTACCTGAGGGAGAAAAGAGGGGTGTGGGTCCGCGTCAGGCAGGGGCCGCGTCAGGATGAGCGGCAGGGGGTACTGCTGGGCCGGGGGCGTCCTGAGGCAGGACGGTGTGTTGGGGTCGGTAGGACGTGGTGCTTGGGGCAGGAAGAGGAGCGGCTGTCTGCTTAGAGTAGCAGAGCTGCTCTAGGGTGTCTAACCTGCAGTGTAGAGACAGTAGTGTAGAGCCGATGAGAGCTACTCTGGATGGATGCTAGTCTTCCATGTTGCTTGAAGACTGGGAGCGTTATCTGTTTCTCCTCCATCCTGTGTGAGTGGTCACCCGGGGTCACCATTTGTGGGGTAATGAGATGGGTTCACACCAGGATGGGATGGAGAAAGGAAACTCACAATGTGCTCTCTGTATACATGTTGTATTGATGTACAATGCAGCTTGGTGCTGGGAAGGCAGCATGGTTACAAGCGTGATGTAGAGAGAGCTGGTTGGTGAGGGTGCTCAGAGGACAGTTTGTGGGTCGCCATGCTAGCTGGCGGGAGCGAGACTGCCAGGCAGGCGGAGGAGGAGGAGGTGTTGCTGGCTGGTTGGTGTGGGTAGAAAGAAGAGATCGATAAATATTACGAAGTCTTTAGTTAAGAGGTGAAAGAAGATTATTAGGGTTGAAGGAAAAGTGGTGAAACTGAAATACAGTAGGAGTAGAAAAAGAATCTGGCTCAACCTGAGATCGCTTCATCTTTCTTATTGGTGTTTTTGTCTTGTTCTTGCCCTTGTCGCTTGCATCTTGTATAATAATAGTTTTATTTCAGGCAATGCCGCTTATTATTATTATTTCTTGGCTATTGTTGGAGTTAGTGAGCTCGCCCAGGTCCTTGTGTGTAACTGGGAGGGTAGTCACATTTTTTTTTTTTTTTTTTTGAGGTGTTAGTTATGTTAGTTGGTGTTAGCTCCAAAGGTAGTTCACACTGTATGGAGAGGCCTGCCAGGTTCTTAGTGGAGCTGGTTGGTCACTTCCTCATCTTTATTCCCTCTAGTAATGTTTTATGTATAAATGTGTATATTGAGGAGGAGGTGGTTCAATTACTTCTTCCTGGCTGATATAGCTGAGGCAATCACATTATTATTATTATTATTATTTTTTTTATTTTTTTTTTTTATTTTTTGAGTTAGGTGAGCCCGCCCCAGGTCCTGTGTAGCTGGGAGGGTAGTCACATTTTTTTTTTTTTGCTAAGATGTTAGTTCAATGTTAAATGTTAAATGTTAAATGTTAAATATTAGTTATGTTAGTCTAAAGGTACATTGTATGGAGAGGGCCTGCTAGGTTCTTGTGGGAGCTGGTGTAGGTCACTCTCATCTTTTATTCTCTCATTAATGTTTTATATGTATATTGGGGCAGGAGATGGTTCAATTATTCTTCCTGGCTGATTTAAACCAACTGTGTTCTTGGAATTCTTCTGTCTATATTATTTATCCAGTTTTGATATGTTTCTGTGTTAAGTTCAGCTCATCACTTTTTTCCGTGACTGTTTATTAGTATAATGTCAGGGTCAATTTCTTGATATATATTACTTAGGTTAATTCTCTCGGTCTTCCAGTTTCTTACGTTGTGTTGAATTATTCTTAAAGTTCTTACTGTTTGTCTATTGTCCATTATTTCTTATACTTGGATTGTAACTGTTGAAGTGGAGACCTATCATCCTGTTTCCCGCTTCTGACTCTTCTAAACTCTGACGGGTCTACTGTTTTAAAGTCATTGGTCGTAATCTTTAGTTTGTCCGTAGTAATTAGTGACCAGACATAATCTTCACTTAGGGATTTTTCTTGATATGTCCACTTGTATATCCCTCCTTCACAGTTTTTTACTATTGTCCCTCCTGTTGGTCTCGATGTTGGGGTTCCATGTTTTGTTGTAGTGATAACTTTTAATCCAATATCTTCAGCAGATTCAGGTTGTATATTGTGTTCAGTTTCCATCTTATCTTCTCTCCTCCTACTCCTTTGTCTTATAGTCTGTCCTTTTGTTATTTCTATCTTCTCTTTGTCACTTCTAGTCATTTGTCTGGGATCTCTATCAGTCGCTTGTGTTCCTTGTGTATCAGCTGTTGCTCCTTGCTCAAACCTTTGTTTGTCTAGCTGTAGTCTTTCTCTCAGTTCGCTTGCATATGTTGCCTGAAATAGTTTTTCGGAT